CCGTGCCACGGTACAAGCACTCCGGTTCTGCAAGCTGCTGCGTCAGTACCAACAGCTCTTATCTCATGCTTCACTGTCAACAAGAAATTATGAGAACTGAATTATAATAAGCTGGAGACTGAAGCTTTGCTCTGTGTCACGCCGGTGCTGAGGTTCAGTGCCTAACTATAGCAAGGTATTCCAGCCCTGTTCGGTGCAAGGAGACGAGCAGGAACCACTCGAGGAAAGGCATTTGCCCTCAACAGCTGGTCAATGAGCCCCCAAGTCTCTCTCAGCATCAAACAGGTTTTCATATTAAGGTGAAGATTTTCCTGTATTAATGGGGACCTGAAGTGCTGTCTGCAGCCAGTTCCTTGCATCTAAACCAACCATGTGGATATTGCTAGGCACGGATTTATTTCCCAGTGTATGCAATTGTTTCAGAGCATGAAACTAATTGCTCCTCGCTCTGGGAACTATGCGGGATAGAGATAAATAAAGTAGGAAATTATTAGGAAAAGTAATAGTACAGCACCGTACAGTATCCAAATTCCTCAGGTTCCTTTACAGTATCAGCTCTCAAGCTCTGGAAGAACAAACAGCAGGGAAGATTTGTGAAAAGATGAAAAAGGTACATTTTCAACAGCCTGAGATGATTACTTGCAAAATAGCAACAGCACAGAGGTAACTGATTGCCTCCTGGCCAAAAGTCAAAGTCTTTGCATTGTAGCTGTGAAAGTATAGAGATCAAAGAGGAAAAAAAAGAGAAAAACCCTGGGTCTGGCTGTCACAAAGGTCCTCCTGGCCCTTTGGTCTCACCAGGCACTAAGACACAACTGCAGTCTTCCTTATGCTGCACACACCTGCGATCAGAGCACAGCAAGGAGGAGAAAGCCTTGCTTCCAGGAGCAGAGTGCAGCTCCCACTCTCTTCCCAGCCATGCAAACCCCACCATCCCCAGCTGCACACTGGAACACAGCAACCACTGCACACCACTGACACTCTGAAATAGACAGCGTGAGAAGCCCAGTGCTGAAGGAGGTATTATTAATAACACTCAGCTATTGATTGTGTTTTACATCTTCAAGCCTTTACCAACACTAATTAATTAAGGTGTTTTCCACTTAACACAGGGAGGAGACTAAAGCAAAAACAACAGGTTAAACAGACCAACCGCCTGAGCAGGCTGACCAAAGCAGTAGTAAATGTTCCATCCCTGGCAGTGCTCAAGGCCAGGTTGGACACAGGGGCCTGGAGCAAGCTGCTCCAGTGGAAGGGGTCCCTGCCTGTGGCAGGGGTTGGAACCAGAGGAGCTTTAAGGCCCCTTCCAACCCAAAGCAGGCAGGGATTCTATGATTCAGCATGGCAAGCCCTTACACACAAACTCATTTTTCCCCATGGATCTTACTTGTACTTCAGCTACTGAAAATAAAGGTGTGAATTCAGCAACGACCCTAACCCAAAAGCCCAGAGGTGCACCCAGCATGAACACGGGCCACTAAGCTGCAGCAGCACTTGCTGCGATCCTCTGCCTGCATCCCGCTGCCACTGCAGCCTGACCTGGACCACAGGGCAAGGGTTTACCTTTTGCTTGCAATTAATTCAAGCCATTCTAATTCAAACAAGAACCCAAACACGAGGGTGCTGACACACGGCTGCAGGGATGTTACCGAGCGCTGCCTGTAATTGCTGCACTAAGCACCAGGGACGTGAAGTATTGATTTCCAACCCGAGCTGTATCCAGCCTTAGACAAGAGGCTGCAGCCAAAATACTTCTTTCAGCAAACTCATCGTTTAGAAAAGACCGTCAGGGCTGAGAGTTTGAGTGTTTAATGCTCACGCTAAGGACTGTAACAATAAACAAGTTCCACGCCTGCCTACCTACACACACCCACCATCCACTTCTCCTCTCCCTCTGCTGAATTCCTCCAGCTCTGTTTTACATTGGGTAAACCAAGTGCACCTCGCTGCTGCAAAAACAGGGCACCGGCGTGCACAAAGGGACTGAGTTATTACCTCAAGCTGCCTCAAGCTGCACCATAATTATACAAACAACACACTTCACAAACTGAGTATTAATTACTGAGCATAACACAGAGGTGCACATTTACCTCCTCTCATGTGATCCACGAGATCACCGAGCTCCTTCCCACACTAAGCAAAGGGACCTGACAATTCCACCACGTGATCCTACACCAAGACCACAGCAGATTCCTGCTATGCATCCATGCCACCAGCACACCCCACATTTGCACTCACAGGTAAGCAGTTTCCCATCCAATTCAAGCCTCCCGCCTTCCACTGATGTATTTTGTAAATCAAGCAGCCTGGCAACCCTCCTACTTAGGAGACACACAGCAGCTATTCAGAGAGACTTGTCTTCACCCCATCCTTCTGAACAGCGTCTCAAAATCCTTGACGAAAAACATAAGGCTCACTACGGATAACTTGGGCCTGTCTGTACAAACACAGAGTGATGTAGGAGAGCAGTTATGGCAGTATAGAAACAACAGTACCAAATGTAGGGAAGAAACCCAAAACAGTGTATCTAATCAGTGGGTTCTGTGGAAACCGGCTACTTTCCCCCCTTCTCCTCACTAATGCTCTTCAGATGCAATTTTACACTTAACTGATTGGCTTCTGTTACACCCCAGTGGTACATGGCTGGACACATCACGTTTTAAATAACAGCCTCTTCAACTGATTGGGAAGGGGAAAAAAATGCATCTACTACAAGGTCATGGAGTCTTCCTTGTTGGAAAGCATCCTCACTCCCAGACATCAGCACTCTGAGCCAAATTTGCCAGTTTAGAATGGGGAGATGGAATGAACCCTCCAGCACCTGCAGCAAGTGCTAAAGATGCTGGTCTTACACCCAGCCTAAGACAGGACCACTCTTTGCCACTGCTCACAGAGATCTCACAACTCCAGCATATGTGCAACTGTAGTTATTAAGGAGAAACGCACACTTCTATGGCGCCATTACCACATACCAACTGCTCTGCAGCATGGCAAGAGTAAAGGAACTCCAAAGAGGAGCTTTTCCATCGCTCAACAGAATAGACAACCTCTGAGGAAAACCTTGATCCTGTAGAACCACACACACATCCCTCTTCACCCAGGCACGTGCAGGAACAAAGGCACTGCTCCCTGCAAAAACATGTGTCCCTCCACAAGTTCTATGGAGAGGAAACAAAACAAAACACGAAGCAGACACTGAAATAGGTGTGTGCACGAGCAGCCAAAGGATTTCACCTGCTTTTCTAGCTGCAGGGCCACATTTCCACAGTCACAATGATGCCCTCCACAGCGCATTCCCAGCTGCATTCCTGATCCACGAAAGGAAGGCATCATCCTGCTGCCCTTTCAGCAGATTCTTGTCACAGAAAAGCATCTCAGCAGCCTGGATGCCGCACATGGAAGGGTGAAGTTCTCATTATACCAACAAGCACTATGCGTATCAGCTCTGAACATACCTGACCACACACGTAACTGCGCTCCCCGCATACCTGCAGCGACCAGGAAGCTCTGCTGGGTCCGGCTGCTGCTGCCCAACAAACCCACCTGATGACTGATTAACTTTGTTTAAGGAGTGGAATTCACACACCACACCCCTGCTGCCAAACCAGCTACATACAACAACCTGATGGAACAAATCCACACATTAAACCCTCTAAATCCATTTGCATTAATGTCACACCACCACCACCACACCGGCAGTGGGCTGAAGGGAGCAGGGATGCCCACCATCACCTTTAAAATCCTACAGCTTAACGGAAATACAACTCTTAAATAACGCCTATATAACCCAAATAACCATACCAAGAGATGCTTGCAGTAAATAAGTAACAAGTAAGTAACAGCTACTGACGTTTTTATCACCCAGGTGTAAATCCAGTTCAGTTACCGGGAACTGGGAGGGCTGGCACTATTTTAGCCCTGACACCAAGGCTGCTCCAGGGTGAACTGTCAGGCAAACCTGCAATTATTCGGTAACAATATATACATACATTTGTATTTCCACGCTTCTGAAGTAGCAGTGATGGATGGCAGCACTACTTTGCTTAGCAGGAAACGGAGAATTTCAGCCAGGCGAGAGCCAAACCCCGCCGAAAGCACTGCAGAAGAGACTCGGACCCCGTTCGCTAACCTTCACTCAAAGCCAAGAGCACGAATCATTCCCCCTGCACCCCGTTTTCCACGCTCAGCTCCCGCTGCTCCAGCTCCGAGACCTGGGCATAACTTTTTGTTTGGGGGGGGGGGTTCAAGGGCAGAGGAGAGGTGCATGCATTGCACAGGGGCTGTGCAAGCCCCACACTGGGTTAAAGCCACGCCGTGGGTCGGCTCCGTGCAGCCAGCACCGAGCCCTGCTCCTCCGGGCTGGCCGGAGCTCCCGTCCCCGGGTCTCGCCTCCGCCCCGACCGGCGATGGGACGTGCCGGGCCCCGGGGGCAGCCCCGGGCCGGCGGCAGCGGGGAGCGGCGGGGCCGGAGCGCGGCTGTAACATGGCTGCTTCCCGGCTGAATTACGAAACCGGTCACGGGAGCGGGGTACCGGGGTACGGGGGAGCCGGCGTGCGGGGCCGCGGCAGGGGTCGAGCACCGCGCTGGGGATGGGGGGGTGGGGACGGGGAATGGGGGGGGGGGTGTCTCCATTGGTGGGGGGGGCGCGCTGGAGCTTTAAGAGGCGGAAGAAGCTGCATGGAATTCGCAGCCTGCTCAAAACCTGAGGGGAATGAATCCACCAGCGGCGGATGGAGCCGGGGCTCGACGGGACGGGACGCACCGGGCACCCCCCGAACCCCCATACAGATAATGCAAACCAGCCGCGAACCGAGGCAGCTTCCCAGCGGTGGCCGCGGAAGACACACACACACACACACACACACACACACACACACACACACACACACAGAGCCCCCCCTTCGCCCCCATTCCCCTCACCTTGCGCGCTGTGCGGGCCGTGCTCCATGGCCGGGTCGCTGCCCAGCTCGGCCAGGCGGCGGCCGGTGGCGGCCAGCTCAGCGCGCAGCGCCGTCACCTCCTGCCCCGCCGCCTGCAGCGCCCCGTCGATGCGCAGCGCCAGCTGCTTGTTGTCGTCCATCATGTGCAGGATTTTGGCCTGGGGGAGGGAGGAAGAGGAGGAGAGAGGTGAGAGAGCGGGAGGGGGGCGGGAAGGGGCTGCCGGAGGGGGAGCGGTGGGAGGGGGGAGTGGGCTGGGAGAAGGGGCGGGGCTGTGGGGATAGGGGAGGGGGCTGTGAGTGGGAGGGGGGAGCGAGGGGAGGGGGCTGTGAATGGGAGGGGGGCTTTGGGGGGGGTGAGAGCCGTGCAAGGGTGGGGAAAGAGGAAAGGGAGAGGGCTGTGCGGGGGGGGGGGGCACGCGAAGTGAGGGGACGGGGGGGGAGAAGCGAGGGGAGGGGGCTGTGTGAAGGGGGCCGTGCAAGGGGGGCGTCTGTGTGACGGGTGCGTAAAGGGGAGGGAGCTGTGCAAAAGGGGAGTGCAATGGGGGCTGTGCGTGTGAGGAGCAATGGGGAGGGGGCTGCTGTGAGAGGGGGATACAAAGAGAAGAGGTGCTGTGCAAAGGGGGGTGCACCCCCTACCTGTAGCCCCCCCCCCCCAGCTGCTCCTTCCTGCCAGGGGGTGGGGGGGAGCCCTGTGACAGCGCTGCATTTATAGCAAGACCCTCCAATCCCCCCCCCTCGGGAAGTTTAGGGGCACTGCGGTGAGTGCTGCAGTGCCCGCAGCCCATGTGCTGAAACCGCTGCTGAGCCAAGTGCCTTTCTGGTAATTGGGTTCAGGTTCACCCCAAAAGGTTCATCCCCAACAGCAGGTGGAGGTGAAATGGGCTCCAAAACTCCCCCTGGAAGGGCTGGGGGGGGGAAGAGCAACCTGTATGCTGTCAGTGCGATAATGCGAGAGCCCTTACGCTGACGGTTCATGTGGCACGAACCCAGGGTGAAAAATGGAGAATGATTTGGTATCATCGCTGGCGACTGCTAGAGGGAGCGCTGATGTTTCCCTATCAATGCCTCCGAGAGATCCACTTGCGTGTTTGGCTGGGCCTGGGCTGCAGCGAGCCCGCAGAGCTGCATCCTGAGCATCCTCAGCAAGGCAGCGGTGCAGGCAGGCTCCGTCCCCGCCGCAGTGAATCCCTGCTGCTCTGCAAGCCTGCACGGCTGCACCATCCCCGCTTCTGAAAGCCACAGGCAGCAGCAGCAGCACTGCGTGGCTTTGCCTGAGCCACCTGCGCCTCCAAAAGTTCAATACAGGGGTTTAGGAACTGGGTGGGTTTAGGAATAGTGCGGGCCCTGTGGAATGGCAATGGGTGCGGGAAGCAGCGCCGGTGAGGAAGGGCTCTTACCGAGGGAAAAGCCAGAGAAAACCACAGTCCTTAAGGAAAAGGAGGGAAACAGTCCTGCCCGTGTTGTAAACCCTCCGATTTTGCCTAAGCTCAGGCTTTTGGCTGAACCCACTGAGAATTTGGGGCAGTTCCTTGAACCTGAAGGATGCCCCGGAAGGATGTCCTTCTGCACCACCGCTGGTAATTCAGAGACCTTAGCCAAAATGCAGTAAAAACCATAGGAAAGGGTTCCTCACTCAGTGAGCTGCAAAGAGAGTAACACTGGGAGAGGCTTGAGATGGGATAAAGCAGCAGCATGTCACTGTCCTACAGGGGCTGTCAAGACGGGGTGCTGGGATGTGGCTCTGCAGAAGCAGAGGGGTTTGGCTTGAGTGTCCCCAGAGAGCTTTTAGGAACAGATATCAGGTAAATCTATCATGTCAGCTGAAAAACCACTCACGTCATCCCGGGTCCCCCCAAACCCCAGACCTGATCTGGATCGTGCTTACAGCCAGCTCTCCAAGAGTGAAAAGGTACCAAGTCCTTGTCAAGCAGCATCTAGACCTTGTAATCTGTAAAAGGATTTTGCAAACCGAAGATAATCCAGTATTTAGATACATGGTATGGTGGATTTTGAAGGGAAAGTTATTTTTCACTGAGAGTTTCCAGCAGTGTCTGCAACCCAAGCACTAGTGCTGGGCAAGGGCACTTGAAATACCAGTGGGAAGGTCTGTTTTCCTTAATGAATTCCCAACGGATGGACAAACAACCCTCAAGGAGAATTTGAGATTCTTTCTTCATCATCTATGCAGCCATCCCTGAATGAGATAAAGTCCTTTAAGTGTATATAGAAACTGAATTCTAAGCAAATAAATGCTCTGTTTCATGCCTTATTTGCATGAGTATTTGCTGCAAACTGTGCTTGCAAATGAGAGAATTATGGATGTAACCAGATAACCTGAATGTGCAACTGCAGTAGCATACATGCAAAACTTTGTCATTGCACTTGCAAGCTGCAGCAAAAGAAACTCAGTTTTAAAGTTCTGGCACATTATTTTTATCATAAAAAATCAGGTAAAAGCTGATTTGAGCCATCCAAGAACACATTCAGCTGCTGAAGCAACGTCCAAACTGTGCTTCTAAATCTAACCTTAATAATAGACCGGTTGCGTTGCTATACTGGCAGTGCTGGAAACTTAAATTTACCAACCTAAGAGAATTTCTGCATTAGCAAGTGTGCTATTAAGAAAAAATGTTGCTTAAAGTTGGCCATGGACTCATCCATAAATTAATAACCTGCTATAAAAAATCTGCCTTATTACTTCAAGTCCGTTTATAGAATCATGGAAAGGTTTGTGTTGGAAGGGACCTCAAAGCTCCTTCAGCTCCAACTCCTGCCACAGGCAGGGACCCCTTCCACTGGAGCAGCTCGCTCCAAGCCCCTGTGTCCAACCTGGCCTTGAGCACTGCCAGGGATGGGGCAGCCACAGCTTCTCTGGGCACCCTGTGCCAGCGCCTCAGCACCCTCACAGGGAAGAGCTTCTGCCTTATCTCCAAACAGAACTTATCCTGTTTCAGTCTGAACCCATCACCCCTTGTCCTGTCACTGCAGTCCCTGATGAAGAGTCCCTCTCCAGCATCCTTGCAGCCCCCTTCAGACACTGGAAGCTGCTCTGAGGTCTCCACGCAGCTTCTCTTCTCCAGGCTGAGCAGCCCCAATGTTCTCAGCCTCCTCTGGACTTGCTCCAACAGCTCCATCTCCTTATGTTGAGGACACCAGCACTGCACACAGTGCTGCAAGTGGGGTCCCATGAGAGCAGAGGAGCAGAATCCCCTCCCTGGGCTGCTGCTCATGCTCTGGGGGTGCAGCCTAGCACCCAGGGTGGTTCTGGGCTCCAGCACACACTGAACCCTGGTCATGTTCAGTTTCTCTTTTGATATTCCCCTGAATATACCTAGGAAGATTTTCTCCCCTTCCCCAAACCTCCCCCGACCCTCACTGGGGATCAGTTGGGTCCATTTAAAACAGATTCTGATCCTTCAAAGCAGGATTTGATTTCTCCAAGCGTCCGCCTGGAAGGAGTGCAGAGCATCAGCATCCTGAGATATCAGCTGCCAGAACTCAAGGCGGGTAGAAAATGAGGGGTGCAGGCCCAAGCATGGGTCAGCAAAGGTGTTCCCAGAGTGCTCTAATAGCAATAATGCCTTCAAGAAGGAATAAAACATTAAAAATATCACCAGGGTGCGCATTCAAAGTACCTGAGGGTTATTTTGGATTGTGCTGATTCTTACTCCTTTGCTGACATCCTCAAAGTTGGGATGAAATGAAGCATTAGGAAATGAATTGGGCCTCGTTCCCTTTCTCCTGTTAGTTTTTAATTAACAAAAAAATTAAATTAAAAGCTAATTAAATAGCCAAAATTAGAAACCTATTATTTCCCAAAATCCCTTTGCCTTTTCTTTATTTCCTTTTCTTTTTTTTTTTTTCTTTATTCCCAGCTTTTCCCAGGCAGCAAGTCCATGTCCCTGCAGGATGGGAGTCTCTGCCCATGCAGATGAGGCACAGCGAGGTCAGGAGTATTTCCTAAGGACACACAGGAAACCCAAGTCAATACATTTCAAATCTCCATTCAGCTCTAGCTTCTTTCCAGGTGGTGCAAGGGGGTAGCCTTGAAAACCTGGAAACATCCCTCAATTTTGGGCAATATGTTCCAGTAGCAGCATCACACCCAGGGAGGGTATTCCACAGGAGCATTTGGATGGTATAAACACGGATAGAGATTTGAGATTACTACCCATCATCTTCACTCTTGTTTCAACCTAACCAGTGCAGTAAAGGGAATGTGAGAAGGTTTAGGAGATGAAAAAGGGCTGAGTAGCACACAAGTACTGTTCAAGCCTTCCAAACACTTTAATTTGCTATTCAGATTACCACTTCTTATGTTTTAAGGTGTACAATATGCAAAGGAACCAGTTTAACTAAATGGGGAAAGCCTTGTGTGTTAAGGTTGAACGCAATCTAATATAGCCCTTTGACTCGATTCGATTAAATCCTTTCTTTTCCAATTAAATAATCAGCCTGAATTTAATAAAACTGAATTTCAATGCGTCATCCTGCAGAAAAATGACCTCTGGGATGCTGCAGGCTTATGTAAATTCCGTTGATCGTTTTTTATCTGCTTGTGCTCACTTCCTCCCCCCAAAATTGCCTCTGTCTGTATATTTACATTAATTCCTCATCTGCTCCATGTATCTCTGTTTGCAGTAACAATTCCAGTTGAAAGGGCTGTGGGTATCAACAGCTTCCTTCAGCACATCCTTTAAAATGGACCTTCTGTGATGGGATAAAACATTGCCAAACGCAGGGTTTTTCCTCTGTGCCTCTGTTTTGTTACACCCTGGCACGTCGAAGCGCAAACAGCAGCAGTTTGGCACCTTCCAAATGTCACCAGAGACATCTGTGTGACCATTCATCAGCAAAGAAAAGCTCACCAAGAAAATCCAGCCCAACGGACCAGCAAACTTCAGCAGCAAAAAACACAGCGTGCCCTGGGTTCAGTGTCTCCTGTAGCCCATCTCCACTAAGTAATCCTATCAAAGTCACAATAGTTGCTCATGTGTACAGTTTTCTTTTTCCACCTCTGCAAAGATCACATTTTTGTGTATTTATAACTGCATTTGACTGCTATCTTCTCTCTCTTAACACTGGAAGAGACACTGGCACAGGGTGCCCAGAGAAGCTGTGGCTGCCCCATCCCTGGCAGTGCTCAAGACCAGGTTGGACACAGGGGCTTGAAGCGAGCTGCTCCAGTGGAAGGGGTCCCTGACCATGGCAGGGGTTGGAGCTGTATGAGCTTTAAGGTCCTTTCCAACCCAAACCATTCTGGGATTCTATGATTAAAACATGGAACACCAGCTGTTTTCTTCCCCTGCTGGCATATATAGCAGCATCTTAACGCAACCCTTACTGATTGGGGCAAGTCCAGGAGAAGCCACGAGGATGATCAGGGGCTGGAGCACCTCCCATATGAAAACAGGCTGAGAACATTGGGGCTGTTCAGGCTGGAGAAGAGAAGCTGCGTGGAGACCTCAGAGCAGCTTCCAGTGTCTGAAGGGGGCTGCAAGGATGCTGGAGAGGGTCTCTTCATCAGGGACTGTAGAGGTAGGACAAGGGGTGATGGGTTCAAACTGAAACAGGGGAAGTTCAGGTTGGAGATAAGGCAGAAGCTCTTCCCTGTGAGGGTGCTGAGGCGCTGGCACAGGGTGCCCCATCCCTGGCAGTGTTCAAGGCCAGGTTGGACACAGGGGCTTGGAGCAAGCTGCTCCAGTGGAAGGGGTCCCTGCCTGTGGCAGGGGTTGGAGCTGGATGATCTTAAAATCCTTTCCAACCCTAACTATCCTATGATTCTATGATGTATTAGTGCTGCGCAGTAGCTGAAATGCTGTTGCTTTAGTTAATAAGTTATTAAACCAGGATTAAAGAGAGCTAATGATGGAGAGGATAAAAATGTAGCTGAACAGTCCGGTTTTCCCTGCAATGCTGCAGTGCTACATTTCCCCATCTCCATTTCTGCACTGGTGAAAGGGTCCCTGTGACCTTCCTGTGCTGTGCATCCCCCAGGACTGTGAAAACAAACCCATTAATGTTTATAAAGTGTCTCAGACTGGGGGAATTACATCACTGCAGCGAGATACAAGCTTAATGGATCAAAACAAACCCCAACCAGCCCCTCAGCTTAGGCACGTTTCAGTTACCTGGCGCAAGCCTTGAGGAATCCCACTGAGATGGAATAATTGAGGGAAAAATGTGATCCCAGAGATTTTTCTCCTGTAAAGCCATTCCCCGTTAATAGGAAGCAGATTTCTAGACCCCTTGCAAACAAATGACTTCCCCAGCATATTTTACAGCTGAGTGCATCTATGGCACCAGTCTTTCTACACGGCCCTATTAAAGCCAACATTTGTTTAATGAATTACAGCATTCCAATGAATCTGTATATGTTCTGCTTGTATTTAAATGTTTACAGGGAAGACGTCAGCAGACAGCTTTCCACAAGCAGGTACTGGTGTCAGTGATGAGCTTCTGCTGCAAGGTACCCCAAAGTTTGAACATCTCGTGGTTTTTGACTTTGTGACTATTGAGGGAAGTTCATTGCTGTTTAGTTTGATAAAACTGTAAGTGCAGTGACCCAGGAGCTTCAGGATCTCTGCTTAACGTAAAACTGTTTGGATTTAATGTAAATCTGGGGGGGGGGGGTTCTCCCCATTAACGAATCACAGAATCCCAGACTGGTTTGGGTTGGAAGGGACCCTAAATCTCATCTGGCTCCAACCCCCTGCCACAAGCAGGGCCACCTTCCACTAGAGCAGGTTTCTCCAAGCTCCATCCAACCTGGCCTTGGTGATGAACCACATCTGTCACCTGAGAGATAGAACCCATTGCACAGCTCCCACCTAGCTGGGGTTGATCTGTGCAACTGAAAGGTGAATGAAGCCATTACTCCCACAATCAAACAGGGCTGACCTGCTGCAGCCATTTCCAAGATGACTTCATCTCACTATACAAACCTCAACAAAAATCTAACACTGCTCCACCCTCCTGTTTTAACATATCCCTCACTACAAACTATGCATGAAGTGCTTCTTTTCATGGCATATAGAACAGTGACCATGGTGCTGTGATAATTTAGCATTCTTGCACAGATACCTCGGATTTGTGCTGCTCTCCAGACTGGCTCACCCCACCCAGGAGCAGGTCTGCTGGGTTGTTCCTACATAGGTGCTGTAGGTCTTGCTAAGAGAAGGGGTGAGCCCCAAAGGTGCATCCACGTGAGCAGAGCTGCCCGGTTAGACTTTGATTTAGAAACTGTTTTCATTGCAGTTTGGGCTGAAA